TTCAAATTTTGAATATCTTATGTATCTAAACAAGATTTAAATCAATATCCTGTATTTCCATGGATTATAGCTGATTATGAAAGTGAAAAACTTGATTTAAATTCTCCATCAACTTATCGAGATTTATCAAAAGTAAAATTTAGATTATTTTTTTTTGATGTATTCTTGATTTATTTTTCTTTAGCCAATTGGTGCATTAAATCCTACAAGAAAATCATTTTTTATTGAACGTTATAATCATTGGGAATCTGATACAATACCACCATTTCATTATGGTACACATTATTCAACAGCTGCATTTACACTTGGTTGGCTTAATCAACTTGTTAGTTCGAATATAATTATATTTAATGAATCGAATAGTTTTCTTTTTTTTTAGGAACTATTTACAACATTTTATTTAAATTTACAAGAAGGAAAATTTGATCATGCTAATCGATTATTTCATTCAATACCATTATCATGGCAAAATTGTCAACATGATTCATCAGATGTTAAAGAATTAATACCGGAATTTTTTTCTGTACCTGAAATGTTAACAAATTGTAATCATTATAAATTAGGACGAACTGAAGATGGAATTAAAGTTGATGATGTTATTTTACCTAAATGGGCACAAACACCAGAAGATTTTATTCGAATTAATCGAACAGTAATAAAAAACAAGAGAAATTTTTTGAAGAAATAAAATTAATTAAAAAAAAGTTTTTTTTTAGGCATTAGAATCTGAATTTGTTTCATGTCATTTACATCATTGAATTGATTTAATTTTTGGTTATAAACAAAGAGGTTTATTTTATAAGATTAATATTATTTTAATAATTGTTATATATATTTTTTTAGGACCTGAAGCTGTTCGTGCTGTTAATGTTTTTTATTATTTAACATATGAAGGTGCTGTTAATCTTGATTCAATAACAAATCCAACAGATCGTGCTGCTATTGAAACACAAATAAGAAATTTTGGTCAAGCACCAGCACAACTTTTAACTGAACCACATCCACCAAGAAATTCAGCAATGAGTTTAGTAAGACGAAATAAAAAACAACAAACACTTTATTTTTTTGTTTTTTAATAATTCTTTTTTTGTCTATTTTAGACTCCAATGATGTATAATGTGTAAGTAGTTTTTTTGTTTTCTCAAAGAAAGAAAAAATAATTTAAATATTTTAGTACATCAGAAGACGTATCAATGATAATGAAATTTTCATCAAATGCACCTATGGTTCATGTTTCTGCTAATACAAATCCAACACTTTCCATACAAGCTATTATTACAATTAGTAATAAACATGATTTTTCTATAAATAAATATCATCCAAATGCTAGTACACCAACACAAACTTATTCTGAATCATCACAAACATCAATAAATCAACAAACACAATTACCATTAAGCATGGATTCAATATTAGGTAGATTAATTCTATAGTTAAACTTTTTTGGATATTAATTTGAATAATAATTATTCAATATTCAAAAATAAAATAACAATAAGAATATCTTTGTTTTTTTTTATTTAGTATCAAATATAAATTTAAATCGTCGTCATTTGGGTGATAATTTTGATGAACGTATTCAACAACGACATCAAAGTTTTGTTGTTACTGCTGATAATCGTTATATAATATCAACTGGTTATTGGGATAAAAGTTTTCGTGTACAAAATACTGATATAGCTAAAATTACACAAGTACTCTATGGTCATTTTGATATTGTTACATGTGTATGTCGTTCAGAAGTAACTATTGCTGGAAATTGTTTTCTTGCAACTGGTTCACGTGATTGTACAGTTTGTATTTGGATATGGAATGGTACAAAAGGTGCAATAGTTGATCGTGAATATCCAAATCAAGGTTATAGTTAAATTTAAAAAAAAAATCAATACATTATAACTAGCGAGAGCCCCTGCATACTGCATGGCTGTTTTCTCTTTTCACGTATAACTTAAGATGTTTAACTTTTCATTCAAGTACAGACATACAGACATTCGATATTATGTATGTAGATAGATAGCCCTACGGTCTCATACTCTTATATCGCACGTATTTTTATAGTCCATGTAGCCTTCGGCCTTATAGCTTTGTATTCCTTGTAGCCATTGTAGCCTTATCCCCTTATTGCCTTAGTCCCTTGAGAATCTATGGCTATTCCCATATAATAGCTCTTCATGTCCTACAGATATACCATATAATAGCTGTTGAGAATCTATGGATAGTCCCATATAATAGCCCTTAAGGCCTTCCGCTTATAGGACTATTTGACTTTTAACCTTTAACCTTAGATCCTGGGCACAGAGACGTCAGACAGACACTGAACAATATATATATAGAGAGAGAGAGATTTTGTTTGTTTTTATATAGAAATCAATCCATCACCAGCAGCAATTTTAACTGGTCATTATAGAGAAATAACATGTTTATGGATATCAACTGAACTTGGTATTGTTTTAAGTGGTAGTGAACAAAGTCTTGTACTTCAACATACACTTAATAGTGATATATTACGTTCATTTGAAAATCCATCAAAAATATCTACACCACGTCTATTATCACCATCAAATGATGGTGATATTATTGTTTTTTATGATCGTTCAAAATTATGTTTAT